TGTTCCATTCACCAAAGAAAGGCAATTTCTTAATTATGTACTTGACCCTGGCACGGTGAATAATATCGTCCAATTCGCAAGGTTTCAAAGCTGACCATCTGAGCCCGCCTTTATTAATTCTGAGGCTACGGCTGAATAAATGGACCTTGGCTGGTGAAGGTGAGTGAATGTAAAGACTACATGTACTTGTGTAGAAGAGTGTATGAACTGCAAACACTGAAGACATGTAATATTTTATCAATTTATTTATTTACAAAACACTTCCAAAATATATACTGGTATATAATATAAATAAAAAAAATTGAAAAAAAAAAAATTTGTTATTTTCCTATTTACAACTTTACACAACATAGGTCTTTGTATAAAAGTTAAATAGACACTGGTGATTTCAACCTTAAAGGGGTAATAGCTGTGAACATTTTGAACATTTTTTTTGGTTAAATAAATATGAACAAATTTTACCAAAATGTTGTTTTAGATGCAATTGCATGGACAAAGTAACCTTACAAAAAGCTGATGAAATGTAATGTAAAAACTGAAGGTAAAAAGTGGTCGCTATTCTAATTGAGATTGGTCATGTGATGAAAACCACAGAAAATTATGAATCATGACACACACTATTATGGAAATTGGAACATAAAATCACCATTGAGAGAGACTAAGCCTCTCAAGCTGGCAAAATATTTGACATTTTGCCCAGGGCCTCCAGTAAATGGTCATCCTGTACCATACACCAAGGTTTACTTGACAAAACTGGATTTAAATAGATGGCGCCCTCTAGAGACCTGGATGCAACCCCACATTCGTCTATTTTCACTTGCAAATGATTTAATTCATTTACAACATTCGTATATAGTATATACGCTATGCTTTCAGTGTCCACATTTCAGCAATAGCCGTTACAAATTGATACTAAATGTCTTATTAAAAATAAAAATCAGAGAAAAAAGATTGATAGTTACAACTATTGTTGCTTTAAAGCTCACATACATTGATACCACTGTGAACAAATGTACATAGCGCAACACATCATGTTTGCAACTGATATAAATATATTATATACATTAATGAAATTGCTTAAAAATATTTTATTTTAAAATAATTTTGCATCAGTATTGCAAATGAATTTTCACAAAACTTAGTTTTCTGTGACAAACTTGGTAATAAACAATCATCATTCAAAGCAAGTCCATCGTCAGAAACACGGAATATTCTAACAGAATATGGAATTGAGAATTTTTCCATATAAGAGTTTCCGGTGAATGTCTTTAACTCAGCAGATATATGCAAGTCAGAACGATACACACAGAGTGTATCCTTATTTTGGTAATTCCAAAAGCCAAAGGAATTATTAAAACTACTAGATTTATAATAACTGTTGCCATAGAAATATTGAAATGGTATAGGGATATATGCTTGTATATGCTGTATTGTGGCAAGTCGACAACGATCAAGAAAGTCTGAGTTGAAAATGGTATTTGTGTTTAAAATGGCGAGAAGGGAATTGAAGTTGAATTCAGAAAGAGCAATTTTCAGGGCTTCAGTTTGAGAGTATGTTTTGCCATGGACTTCGATATATCTTAGGTTGGTTGCAGGGTATTTATGTTGGTATAAAGATATCAAATCCTTTGCACCAAGTAGATTACTTTGTTGAGGCTCATGAAATATGACTGCAAGCAACGAAATGTTACAACTCTGATAGTTTTGCAAACAGGATTTCTCTAAATTCATCATAAATTGCTGAAAATTAGCATCATATTCCTGCAATGGTACAATAATATTCAAGCGTACATTTGGCATTGTCTTTGCAGATAAAGCAATTAACTGATCTATTGGCTGTTTGACAGTGATGGTGTAGATACCATCGCCATGGATACTAACAATATATTCTAAACTATCACCAATATTTTCTTTTCTATAGATAGTAACTGTCATCTTATTCCAATGTATGTCATCTGGAAGACTCTTAACAGCTTCCTCAATCACTGTCCTTGCTTCGTGATTCTTAGCGTCTATTTTGTACGATGACAATCTAATGTGGTCCCCAACAATTTTCCATAGTGTCACATACTTGTTTTTGCTAAGCCCATAAACTAAACGATCCTTTGTTTCCTTGACAACACTTAGAAACGATTGCTGCAGTGTGTCCATATTGTTTACAACACTGATAAGACTTAGCAAATCTTTCTGTACTGTTTGTAGTGTTCTATTTCTATAATAGAGATGTAATCGATACATATCTTTTCTTTGTCTCACCGGATACATGGATAATAAATTATTTAAAAAGGATTGATCCATTAAATTCCCATTAACATCTTCCTGTTCATTAAGGTTATCAAATAATTTTTGAAACTGAAAATAAAATAAGAAGACAATTATACATGTATTATGTTATGGACCTGTTTGATTGTCTTCATTATGTCACAATCCAACATTATCTCGTGTGTATATGAATAATGTAAATAATGTAGTGCATGGCTGAAATAGAATCACGTCATTGAATGCAAATGATGGCGCAGACACTTTTTGCTGTCATATCTCGGTAAATTATTGCTACACACAGGAAAAGATGTACCGGTATAATAATACGGTTATCACAAGAATACTGCACAGTCTGCAAAAAGACAGTATATGGATTGTATTGACTGGCGTGTAGCTGCCTGAATATCCCATGCACAAGCCAAGTTGTTGAGTTTTGAGTTAAATAAATTATGAATTTTTTATTTGTTTTCTTAAATTTAAATAGATTTATGCAATTCATACTGTGAACATAACAATGAGTATCGCTTATCTGCTGAAAGAATTTGAACTTGAGTTGATCTCCTGGGTTGTTTGTACAAAGGCAGAAAGGGCTGAGAAATGGTCCACTTCCTATAGCATTCATTGTGGTAAGTGTAATTATACATGCTGATCAGTTGATGAGGTGTTACAGCAGTAACTCACTACAATGCATATATACATGGATTTTTGATTAAAAATATTTCAAACCAAGCGATTTTGAGTTGTAATTTAATGCATTCATGTTTATGCAAATGAAACAAGCCTATTCATTCTGTTGATTTTAAACAACTGGAATTATTCACAGCACTATTGCGACCACAGAAATAGGTTTCAATAATGTACATGTACAACAACCAGGATATAAAAGCTGTAACATGGTTCATGGATATGAGAATTCATTTTACTACTGTGTAACAGTAAATTTTTACAATTTTGGGCAATAACATTGTTCTGACAGAGTTACAAAAAAACTGATGTCCGATTACTGGTTCCATACAATCTGAGGTTGAAAGTAAAAATCAACAACTACCTTGGTAAGAATAGACACTGATAAAACCATGAAACAAAGTCCTTATAACATCATTGATTGCAGTTCTAGTATAAATACTCAACTGATACCACAACAAATACTATATATGCCACAATAGTTCATTTACTATATATAGTGAATGCTGCTGATAACGTGGTTTGTAAAATTTGTATGTGGTACGTACTGCTCAATGTTTTCACCTGAGATTTTATTTCACCTTTCTAGTCTATTCAATGCCTCAGAGAAAACAATGTATGTTTGAATTGCAAATAACTACGAGTGAAGAAAGTTACCTGCTTTGCTTCAGTGCAGTTGACCTCAGCATATTTAGTCATACACTTGCCAAATACTTCATCAAATTTCATAATTTTGTCTTTTCCTGCACACTCGTCTAAATATGGACATATCTGCTGCAGTGCCTTCCTGCTCAGCACAACTCCAGCCCCGGTGTTGCAGTAAGGTTTGTTGTTATGTTTAGGACCTATCAACAAAAATGTTATTATCACAGTAAAGATTTTTGTTTAATTAAATTTTAATAGAAACAATAACAATACAGACCCCTTGCTTGCTATGCTTGCTAAACCTCATCAACTGGTGTAGCCTGACATGTAGGTGTGAGTGGCGCCCTCTCCAGCCGAACGGCATCAGACTTCACTAACGTCTGACAGAATAGTCACGGCAAGATCAATACTGCGAATTCACGCCTTCTTGCAATGAGTTTCAATGAATATTTATTTTGGTAACACCATCAATCAAAGCCGTGTTTTCATTGTCGGCAAAAATTTCAGACTGTTTTCAACAAAATGATAAACATTAGGTGGAAATGAACTCTGCTGTGAATAGTTACTCTTTGATGGCTGTCACTATCTGACCTTATTGCTATTTGATTGGTACTAACAACAAGCGCAACTCACCCGGCCTTGTCTGGCTACAACTGGTGCAAAAAACAAATTATGTGACAGTACCATGATATGAAAATTTCAGAAAAAAATAATAATGACTGAAAGTTTATTTAAAAAAAAAAATGGCTAAGGGTAATATTTCTGAAAACTATCAGCAATTTACTAATGGACATTTACCATGGTTCGTAAGTGTAGTTTCATAAAGTCATGGTTTTGTTTTCATTTTAAAACTGATATCACCTGATATCAGTTATTTGTAGAGCGGGTTGATAATCGTGGCATTACAAGCTGTATTATCTACTAACTTTTGTTTTGTAGATGATACTAGCACATGATGTCACTCACATCATACCCCATATTTAGCCTTATCCCCCTAACTTAGTATTTGCCAATCTCTTTGCTGAATACCATTTCTCTTAACACTTTCACTAACAGTCAAATTTGACCCTATATTTTTCAACCCCATTGTCAACTTGAATTGACAGCTACTGTCAACTTTGAAGCTTGACCTTTCACCACCATTGTTGACTTTAACAACTCCCAACTTTGACCTTTCACCACTTGTCAACTATGACCCTTGACCACACCTTTCACCACCATTGTCAATTTTGACCTTTCATAGCCATGAACCTCTCAGCACCATGACCTATTCAAAACAACTCAAAATTGACCCTTCACCACCACCACTGTAACTATGACCCTTAACCTTTCACCATCATTGTCAACTTAAACATTTCATCGCCATGTAGGCTCATACTACTCACAGCTACTGTCAACTTTGACCCTTGAATCTTTCAGTACCACTGTAAACTTTGACCTTTCACAAAACCACTGTCAACTTTGACTTTTGACCTTTCACCACCACTGTCAATTTGACCCTTTACAACAGGTGTTAACTTAGACCCTTGACCTTTCTCCATCATTGTCAACATTGACTTTTTCACTGCCAGTGTTTACAAAATAGCTTGATTCAAAATCTTCAAGTTTTCACAAAATTTGTTTTTCAAATCAAAATATTTCTGAACAAAATCTAAAAAGGAATATTCATTTTTGATAGCTGGATTAAAAAATGTGTGAAATATGTCATTCCATTCATTCTACCTCTAAGCAAACCTTTTAATTGAATAGCATCCTAAATCAACTCTCCGTCATAAAATTCCCACTCACCTATATATAGAATCTGTGAATTATTCAACTGCTTGAATAATGTCTCCATTGCGTTGTATCTGATGTACGTGTTGTGATTTGGGAGAATAACAAACCAATTATACTCATCTATATAATGATGACACATATACTTCAACATTGAAAACAGTTTGGTACCATTACTGACAGCATCTTTAATATCTACAATAAACATGTGTTATAACAGGTGTGCCATTATATGCAAATAAGAATGTATTAAATATTATGTACTTTGTCCACTGTATTTTGACAATATAATCTAATGTTGAATAGCACTATGCTGCATAGAGGTTGACCATTATAAATCCCCGGGATGGGGGATAGAAATTGGTGCAAAAATATGCACAGAGAAAATTTTGAACAAACAAATTTTTCAGTGAAATTATAAAAAAAAATATCCATAAATAAGACAAAAAAAAAGGGTTTTGCGTCTCTTTATTGCGTCAGTTTGCAAACTGTGTCTCACACATATTTTTAGCAATTTTCTGTACCAGTAAATTGTGTGACGTACTAAGGAAATATTTTTGTTTCAGAAGATGTTTTGTTAATCAATTAAAATTTTCAGGCATCTATTTGAAAGCATGATTTAATAAATGTTAAATAATTTTAATACAATCACATCATTTTCGTACTTAGCACAACCTCTTTTTTTCCTTGAAACAAATCTCACATATATTTGAAAAAAAATCAACAAAAAATGACAGCAATATTATTAAAAGATAATTAGGCTCACGAAAAGACAAGAATCTCCACACTAGTTCTACCACATTATAATCATTAAGTATACATATCAGGGATGGTTTTGTACCAAAAGCTAATCTGATTGTACAATTTGTGAACGATACGTATAAAGACAGCGATAAGAGAACAGTAATGGTCTATTCGCCAAATAAGCACATGTACAGGATTTAGCACATCATGCTTTGATTACAAATAAGGAAGATAACTCTCTCCAGTGTGTCATGTATAGACTTGATTTCCAAGGGAGCAAGCAGACACAGTACATTTAACAAGCCACAATAATATAGTAAGAGGTGCAATCCGTTTACGAATGTGTTAAATCCACCCCGGATGAACAGTTAAGAGTTATTTTACATTCATAATTCTGTCAATTCCCAGTGGCCACTATCATCTTCAGTTGAACTGTAAAAAATTTTTTTTACATAATATTTTTAATTGGCTTTTTTTTTCAATAACCAATAATTTACTGTGTTTTTGCCCCAAGCCCATGAGTTTTCAAATAAGGACAGCAGGAACACAAGTCAATTATATTACAGTAGAGTAAGTAAATTGCAGTGCAAGTCAAACACACTGAAGCATGATAACAGATAAATGTATATGTCATTTTGATGTACAATGGTTACTAATGTAGTCTACTGGAAATGGGGGCAGGTATAAAAAAAAGGAAACACTTTCACTGATGACAAGTGTTCCTTTTTTTATGATTTTTTAATTTAATAGGAATTGATGTTGCAATTTTTGATCTTATAGCTGTCATTTCAATTAAACTTATCAACCTATCCCTAGTACAAGTCTGATTACATAACCAAGGCATAATGTAAACAAATTAAGAGCAATAACAGTTTTTATCAAAAACTATTCAAGGATTTATAAGATCAATGATTTAATAAAATGGGAAAGAACAACTTCAGGTAATGGCATTTAAAATAAGACAGCAAAATAAGAGGGGATTTTTTCATTGAAAGAACACAGACAAAGACAGTTGAGAAGGTTGAGGTACTTGTCAGAGTTAATACGACTCTTGATTTCAGTAATGTGAAAGTTTAGATAAGCTAATACTTTGTATTTTTAAAAAGACTATGTTATTTGGGAGATTAAAGTCGCACAGTGACAGTGCAGCATCATTTTCAATACGGATTCCATTAGCCCTGGATCCACAACGTTGTCAGAGTAGGCATTCGATCGTCGGCTGTCCACTCAAACACTGTCATAGATCTAGTTATAGCGAAATGAGGTGGCTGTGTAAGACAAAATACACGGTATATGTACATGCGTACACCAACAACTAGCCGAACTTTGATTTCCAAAGCACAACAATTGCATCAAATTCAAAGTGTAATTGAGATTTTCATGGGTAACGGTAAATCAAGGTTCTGGCAATTGTTTGTGTTTTGCTCTTGTTTGATCCAAACAGTTGTTTTATTTCCCATATTATACAAAGTGAAAATAGTTGCAGTAAGAGTAAGTAAATAAATAAATGTACATGTATAAATAAATAAACAAATGAATAAACGAACAAATAAATAAATAAATGAACAAAAGTCTAAGCAAATACGTATAATATTGCTGGGAAGCAGAAATTGCTATAGCGAAGCCAGTCGAGCCTGCTTCCCAGAGTTTGACCCGTAAGTCAAAGAATGAAATATAAGGGCGACAAACGGGGCATATTGTTCTAATAAGGACTGTCCAAGGTAAAATATATATATCTGAGTGTCTGAGTGGGCGATTGTGGCAAAATGTAAACAACATCCACTCTGACAACGCCACAGATCAAAAGCTAGGATTCCATGTGATAGGAATTAAAGCATGTAAAATAGAAAATTTGTTTACAGCGTAGCGTTTCAAGTAATTAGATTTGAATGACAAAACATTAGACAAATTCTGAATTTACAGTGTGGAATATCTGGTGCACATGGTTACAGTGGCTCTTGTGGCCCAATTCGCTGGTTCCCGGTGCCCTTGCGAATGGCAAGTAGGACACAGGTAACTAGTAATCACCATGCCCATATAGTCTGCCAGCAAGGACTTTTTGAGATGGTTCTGACATTTCTCGCTGTTTCTGAACAAATTGATAACAATTTTCGAAAGTAAAAAGAAACATCTGAACGACCACGAGCGTAAGTGCTGACGTCAGGTAACCAAGGGAAATAGAACAAGCAGCAAGAAGTGATGGACCAGTCAGAATGTTGTAAGCATTACTAGTTTCCTGCCTCTCGTGGCTTGTTGTGCCATGACACTTGAAGCGGGAACCAGCCAAGTGTCTATCTAGCCTGTATGTTCCAACATAAACCATAGTTCTCTGGTTTTATGAAAAGATCATTAATTAAGGTATACAGGTCAAGTGATCAAGTGCAAGTGATTGATTTCATATAGTTCTGATCTATAATTAACATCATCACAATATTTTACAAGAGAATGAATCAAATATGATATGATGTTATGTGATGTGATATGGTATGATATGATGTGATGTGATGTGATGTGATGTGATGTGATGTGATGTGATGTGATATGATGTGATATGATGTGATATGATGTGATGTGACGCGATGTGATGTGATGTGATGTGGTATGATGTGATGCGATGTGACGTGATGTGATATGATATATGATCCGATGCACCATCATGTAATTCAGATCATGTCATGGATACGGTTCAAATGTCGTGATCACTAACCATTAATATGCCTCGAGAACTGGATATTAAAAAGGCAGCTTGGCAGCAGGTTTGCTGACCCTTATCATGTCATACATCTATTTTTAATCGGTGAGCCTGGCAGACTACAATATCATATTTGACATAAGTGCGTCTACAGTCAAAATACTTAAATGATCCATTATACAATAAATGTAACTTTTGAAAAATGTGCACTGCTATTTGTGCAAGATGTGCTTCTAATAGTACAAATACAGTACATCATACATAATTTCACAGATCATGAATATTCATGAGCTAGCCAAAAAATTTTGGCCAATAGGAAACTCCCCTAGTTCCAGCCCTCACTTTATAACTCTGTCACTGGAACACGAAAGAATAATAGCTTTGATGTCTTAATCAAATTAACTGTAATATTTTTGGCAAAATTGATCGTATTTTAGTCAAAAATGATCAAATTCGACAAATGATATTATTTTCATGAAAGAATTTCCACAGTATTTTTTTTTCAATGCATTTTTTTTTCAAAATCTACTGTCTCCTCTGAGTTTCTTATGATCAACCCTTTAGATGTTAAAATAAACAGATTACCTGTAAGCTGTACTAATTGTAATTCACCATGTATATCAGCGTGAGAACTCACGAATATATCATAATGTTTTGTATGTTGTGCCCAAGTTTTCTCAATAGTTGGTACCCAGTCATCAATCGCTTCACTCGGCATAAACATTCCAATATACAATAGTTTTCTCAAAGATAATTCTTCATGAGCAAACCTGGGAACACTTTTTAGACGCCTTGTATCGGCAAGTTGGTTGTCAATATTCAACCACTGACGACTTCGCTGATGTGATCTGTAACTATCTGCTTGAGGCGACAAGTCATGTTTTAAATTTCTATTCTTGTTTAAAACACCGCGTGCTACCAATTCACTGCCTCCTTGATGGATATTCACTGGTGGTCTGTTTCTTCGGCTTCGCGGTGAAACAAACAGAAGTAACGATCCCGAAATTAAGATTCCGATGCAGAAACCACCAATGAATGGAAGAACTGGTCTCTTTTTTATGGTGAACATATCTGATGCATCCCACACGGTAGGCAATGGGCAATGTGCAGCTGTAAGGATTGCTATGAAAACTACCGCCACGTGATGTAAACAGCGATCCTGTTTAACGTGGCACAGTAAAACTCTTCATTCATTCATTTAAGAACATTTCAACGAGCGAACCTCAAACACGAATATTCACATTCATTGTCGATAACGTGTCCCAGTGAAAGCTGTTTCCCACTAGTCGTGTACGTAGTGCCATTTTATAAAACAACATTTGGTTGTTGAGCGAGTTTCGGTGATTGGACTATTCCATTGCGAAGGCTGCGGTAATTCTCACAGATAGTGTGAGAATTACCGTGAGATATGCACATCCGGAATTTACGTAATATTATCTAGTCTAATATATTGGTTCAATACACTAATATGTATCCATACAAGTAAACAATCGTGTTGTTGGGAAATCCAAGTGACTCAATCATATTATAATGGACAATCCACATGACACCAAACGTAGCTGACCACCCCGTATTACGTTGTCATTGTGGTCCCGTCCAATGTCAGGATAACGGTCCGTAAATGTTGAACACTAAGCAACGCGAAGAGGTGAGTTCCGATATATTTTATCTTTGTGAAGTTGCACAACTATAACAATTACCGATTTCACTATAGACTAGAGAGTGTGTGTTACATAACACGTTTGGTTGAGTAATAGGGTTTGCGATGTGTTCAATCCATTGCATGCAATGGAGTTTTAGCGTGGAGTGGTGTCTACATGCTCTCTGCTCGTTTGGGAAGGGAACCGAGGTAGCGATGATCGGGTCAGTGTCAAGTACTAGTAAATTAGTCTAAAATGAGGTGTTAGCGACTGAATGACGACAAAACAACCAGATCAGCAGTCGATGAGTATCACATTCTTTATGTACGTCACTTTCAATGTGTGCGTTTGTCCCAAGGTTTACATTGTAGAGCGGAGTGCGCGTGTAGTGGGCCAGGCGTCACGGTGGAATATGAATTGTCGCAATATTGGGATGGTTTTATAATGACCTTTCCAAGCTGTTTAATGATTACGTCACCGTGTAGTCGAACATTTGGTTGAATCATGGAGGTAAAGTGAGATCTCTTTTTACCTCCATGGTTGAATACACTTTATAAAATCATAATTAATTGAAAATTACTAATTAATTGATAACTTTGAGTTCACTGCATTTTATGCAACATATTTTCATTGTTTAATATTTAATATATAAACCAAAACATGAATTTGAAAATAAAAGAAACATGATAAAAATGCCTCAAATACGAAATAGTGCAGTATTCGTCAAACATTAATACAGTGCTGCATGATTGAACATGCCTACTCTACTGTATCACCCAGCGAACCAGGCAATAAATCTGTTGTCTATATAGTCAGGCGTTCCTGTGCAGCCTGATCTTTCCAGTGTCATGACTCAAAGATATAGAAATCCAAGGACATCGAGAAAAGTTAAACAATAAAAGTACAAAACAGAAAATAATAATAATAATGAAACAGATAATAGTTTTCATTTTGTCACTTTTATCTGCATATTATGAAAATATATTAGTTTCTGATTGGCTTATCTGATCATTGTAGAACTAGTTTTTGAGTTATGTCACATATGTTTGGACCTCTGTTAATGCATGTGTGTGTCCCAACCTGTATTTCAGACATGCCTAGACCAATCACATTCAAACTACACACATACATCATGAATTGCTCACAGAAATTACATTAACTAATGCAGGAGATAAATTGAGTAATTTTATATTTTTGATGAGCAACAAGGACTCCAAGGCAATTAAATGTATGGGGACCTATCTACTTAAAGCCATGGAGTACAGAAAACTTTAACGTATCTATTTATATTGTATTGTAATTGTGTTGTGTATAGATATATTTATTGCTTTTTACCAAAAGAAATATTGTAATTTCTAAGGATGCAATAAAATTTGATTATTATTATTATTATTATTACATCATGCATCTTGGGATACATCTGCATGCTTAATTGTTTCAAGATCTGATTCAAATTGGTTGAATGTGACTATTTAAATGCGAAAATTCATCAAAATCTGCATTCCTGCTATTCTGGAAGTGAATCTTTTTTATATAAGGATGAGTTCACTCAAAGTTGGTATTTATATTTGACATTATAGAACTTTAGTGCATGTCATTTTGTTTTTCAGATTAGATTTAAAATGGACAACTGGTGGCCATTTTGTTTTACCAAATGCTGTTCCAGAGCAAATCTTTGACATGCTGTTTTATTTTCAAAAACAGACAAATCTAGACAAACTGTGTATTTAATTTCCTTATGATAAGACAAATAGTCGCAGAGAAAATCAGTTCTAGTTCTTTTTTTCAGATTCATATCAGAGAAAAATATTATATTATAATTGTCTTGGTTTTCTTCTTTCTTATATATAATTAAATTTAAACATGTGTCACAGAAACATTTCCAATCATCATTAGGGTGCAGTTAGACAAAAATGTGTCAAGCATACTTGTAAATTGCTTGCTTGTGGAAAATCATGCTGCTTTCCCTTTTTTAAAGCGATTTTTCTCTGTATTAAACATATCATGTTATGCTGTCTTGTCTTGTCGAAATTGAAGTCAATTTTCGAAAAATAATGATTTGAATATCAATATTTGCCATTCATAATATAGGGTCTAAGCACAGTCCCTCTATCCTGCTGGTAAAATAGATGAATTAAAGAACTACTCACCCGCTAAAATATGAGCTTATACAGATATCCTGGTTAAAAAATTATGTGAAAAAGCTTGAATTCTGGAATAAACAACTAAGTTGTAAGAAAACACAAAGCACTGACGATGCCAAAAATAGTGACAGACTATGCAGTGATCATGTGACAAAGAATCACCGGATACTCGCAATGCGCGGCTGTCAGGGAAGAGACCAATTCATACCTAATACAATAACTGGATAGAGGGACTGTGGTCTAAGTCATCAAGCCATAACCTATGGAAAAAGTGTATGTTGATGCATTATGCTTTATTTAATCATGGCTTGTATGAATTAAAACAAAATTGCACTGGCCTTTTCTTGTTCAAGTGTGTTTTTGATCTGTAAGACCTTTAGCTGGTATCTCACTTGTAACTGTAAATTTCATAACTATATAATCTCACTAAAATAAATTGCATAAGTCTATAGAACTTGATCAACATTTTTTAATACATTTTTTAAAAAAACGATGTGGGTTTTATTGCTGACTTTAATGTTCAAAGAGTAAATTAAATGGCGATGATCACAGCTTCACACCTTATTCAATATGAGACTGATAGAGAT